GAGTCAACAAACGAGATGACATGGCCTTTCACCTGTGACCCATCTCAAAAGGGTTAATATAGGTTAAAGCAATTAAAATGATTAACAATTTGATATTTTGTATAAAACAAAGAATTTAATTTAAGAAGACTACGTACAAAACAATTAGATTATACATATTTGTTTTTCAGAAACTAAACTCACAAACAACTTGATTTTACTTTTCTCCTCATGTTCTAAAAATAGAAAATGCTTACTTTTTTCCTGAACACTCTGCACATTGAAAATACTCCAGGAGGAACCTAAAAATACAATAAAAAATGTGTGCTTTCTATCACAAATAGCTTTTATTATGTGTTCAATTAATTTAAATAGTACACACCTGATGCAAAACAACTCATAAGTATCTGTATTTTGTATTTATGGCAAAGCTACTAAAGGTATTTTCTGCCATTCCTAATTTTGAACTACTGACCAGAAGGAAGGTAGCCAATCAGCAGCCTTCTACCACTCACCATCCATTAACTGGCTCACTAACTTTTAAATCCAGAACTCTTCTACATGGACAACCTGAGCTGATATATCTCACAAAGAGTAGAATAAAACAAAAAGTGTGTGGAGTATCACATTAGTAAAACATAACATGTGACAGATCACATAATAAACAAAAACAAAACTACATCTGGTATCTATTCAATAAATAAATACCTGTTATATTTTGCTTACTTGCTTGATGATATAAGTGACCACAGTGGAGTTGTCAGAGTATACTATAAGCACCCTCCCCCACGGAAGAGGAAGGAAGTGGGACAAAGCTTGATACACCACCATAAATTTGAGAATGTTGATATGGAGAGAAGACTCCTTGACTGACCAGAAACCAAAAATCTTTTGAGAGTCTATGTCTGGTCCCTGTCAAGCAACCAAGCCAGATCAGCCATGATTTTGGAAGGAAGGGTAACAGGGTGATCAAAGGAATCCAAGGAGAAGTCCCACTGATAAAGGAGTGTCCACTTAAGTTAATGCATATGAGCTCAACCCATGGGAATGAGAGTTTCCAAGGAAGCCCACATATCCAAAAGAGATAGAACTCTCAAACCATGAGAAAATGTGAGGTAAGGGACAACTCAGGTGGGAATTGAAAAAAAATACAAATGAACAAGGTACTGAGTTGAAGTAAGAATGGACTTCTCCACCTTTATCAGAAAACCCACCCATGCTGCTTCTTGTAGAAGTAGATAAGTGTAGTATCTGGACTGCAAGCGGGAGCCAGTCATTCATGTAATGATGAATGCGAAAACCCATCAAGTAATGGTGTTGGGCAAAAGTGTGTACCACCCAACAAAATACATAAGGAATCAAGGTTAGTCTGAATGGCAGGACCCTGAACTGGAACACCTGATCCTCGTGGATGGAATGGGGAAAAGACATGACTTGAGAGCAATAGGAATGTAAAGATAGGCTTCCCAAGGAAAACACCCACTGAAGTAAGAGATAGGACTCCATAATGAAGCAAGAGGGGGTCCAGAAAATAATTCAACCAGAACAGATCAATGATAGGTCTCCAATCTACCATCTTTTGGGGAACCATGAAGAGATGGGAATAAAACCCTGGTTGAATAGGGCACATCTGCTCAATAGCTTCTTTGTGAAGCAGGTTATGGATGGTCTTGGTAAGATGACCAAGATATGAAGGACCCCAAGGAGGTGGTGAGAAAATAGGAGAATGGGAAAGAGGAAGTGAAAACAGGAGCTCAGAACTGAAGCAGAGACCTACTAACACAACCCATGGATCTGTCGTAAAATGGCACCACATGGCTGAAAAGTGGTGCAAACTAATCCCTACTGGTCCGGGAACCCCGTCGCATCACCTATAATGCTGGTATTGTTCAGCCCGGGTGTGGGAAAAATAAGGGCAGGAATGAGGGCACTAGGAGGAAGGCAAGAGTTTGGGTGAAGAAGAGGATGGGAAACAAGTACAGGTGACTCGTGGGAGGAGGAGAGAGGGTGAGATAAATGTGTGGCCAGAGAAGACAAGGACAAATGCAATCTAGCCACATGTATCCCTCCAAATGTGGTGTTGTGTCGGAAGGGGTCTTGATGCAGATCTTGCAGGGATAAATCAAGTAAAGTACCACTCCCCAACTAGTCCCAACAACACAGGAGTCAGGTATTTGGGGAAAGAGAAGAGGCTGATAAAGGAGCCATAGTGAACCAAAGGAGGGTACTGAGCTCATCTGAAGGAAAGTTCAGGGGAACTACAAAAGATAACATAAAAGGGAGGTGGGGAAAAGACAAATCCTTGATAATTGAGCCTGATTAAAATGAACTAAAGCCCCAGGAATCGAACCCCAAAGAGGAAGTAGAAGATCCATTTGCTGATAACTCAAATATGGATCCATACTATGATTGTATTGCCAAAACATATCAGTCAGAACCTCTGAGCACGAACTCATATATCGGGTAAAGGGGGAAAACAGAAGATTCAAAAGATGGAATAAGGAAGAGGAGACATCATAGGTGATAGGAAAAACATGTAAAATGATACATACCTGATTAACAAATTGTAAAAAAGAGGTGGAAGATAAAATATCCTAAATATGTGTAGATTGTGACTGACCTGATAAAGAGAGTCCAAATTTTCTTCCTCATGATGGTATTACTCCTCAGAAACATGTTCAAGTTGAAAAAAGAGGAGAAATAACCAGCAGAAGATAAGATTCTAGCTCTCTGCAAATTAAGGCCCACATTTCCTCTGCATATAAAGTTGAATCCAAGTACTGGGAAGTCATACCATCTGCATTGTTGATGGTCATGGGAATTTCCATTTCCAGCACACTAAAACTCAAATTTATACTAAGTTCACTTAGAATTTGGGAACAAGAAACAGATTCAAATGGAAAATCTTTGAAATAATTGTATTCAAACACAGAAAAACAAAACTGTGGAAAAAATTATTGGAAATAGCAAAGAAGCACAATCAGAAACTGCAGTCACACATAAAAAAAACAACAAACATCTAAACAATGTTACCAATCAGTGAATAGTGCCATTATAGGTGGCACAATACTATTGGTGGAGAGTAGTCACATGATAGGCATGTGTTCAGAAATGGTGCAAAATTGATGGGGTATATAGATTGGGGTGCTGAGTGCAAAAATGTTTTAACAATGCTTATAGGACAGAAAGACGATCAAGATAGCTTTGTGTGAACGGAGGTAAGATTGCACTGGAAATAAAAATGTCTTAGCTGAAGATGACTCTCATCTTTCCAAAATTTATACTTTTGTCTGTTAATCCTATCATATTCACCATTAAGTCTGAAAAAATGATGATGCATCAACAATATCAATTTCCTTTAAAAACTTAAACACCTCAATCAGATTCCCTCTAACTATTCTTTTTTCATGTTCAAGCTCAGGAAGGATAGCTCAGAATAGGAATACTTCCATATTGTCACTCATAAGATTTAAGAGTTGCAAATGTACAAGATCTTTATCTTATCTTCCATTATATAAAAACAGTTTATTAAAATAAAAATATATATGTAACCACTCACTTAATTTAAATAGTTATAGTTTGCTTGATCCCTGCCAAAATGTCTGACACATACGTTATGTCATCAGATTAAAGAGTTCATATTCAAAACCTAATTTTCATTTCTGTGGATTTTATGTCTTAGAGCATTTTTCCAGAGAGGTATGGTAGTTCTAAACCTCTGTGCCTGGCTACTTTTAATGTATACATAACTTAAAAATACTAAACTGAGCTGTGTTCAATAATAAAGGATTCCATTCAAAACAGAAAGAACTCTAAAAAAACCAAACTCAAACTGGAAATATTTAAACACTTTACTCTTAAATGGTCTATTACAAATTTCCATAAAGAAAACAATTGATACATTCAATGTCATTTTAACTGTTTTGTTAATTACTGCCACTTTCTAAAATTATCACTTTTCACTGTACTCTTAGATATTACTCTTAATTGTAATGAGAATTAATAGATAAATTAAAAAATTAACCTCAGAATGTCCAATACACTTTTACCTCAGTTAGGTTACAACCTGCAAGATCAAATGTTTCATCAGGATTTTCTTTAGCCTAAAAATTATATAGATATAGAAAAAAACAAAAATCAGTAACTATCAAAAACAAAATTAACTGCATGAATTCTATTACTCTAAAATCATAATTATATGTATGTGGAATATTCCTGTTAATGAAAAACAAGTTGGATAAATCACATAAAAAATCCACTGAAACCCCAGTGTTTTTTCACAGATAGTCCTAAAAAGGATTTAGTCATTTATTTGTTGTTAAGCATAAAGCTATTCAACAGGATATCTGTGCTGTGATAAAAAATATATGTATTGGTAACTGATGGTTTCTTCATTCTAAATGTATATAATATTTGTTAATTTCACTGGTAAGAATTTTTGTTAGAATCCTATATCATTACAAAAATAGGTCACTAAAAATCTGTATAGGAAATTACACTGTATTAACAGTACTCAATCAAATAGACAACAACTATGTAAAAATAAAGAACAATGTAACATGGGATACATGTTTTATATCTTAAAATATGTCAGCTTAACCTGAAAGCAAAAAGTAGAGGAAAAGTAAGGACAATTTGCATAATTTATTTCATCCCTAAAATTTACTAGTTACTCTAGGATATTACTAAACTACATATTTTTCAAAAAAATTAAAAGACTAGGCATCTAATTATTTTTGGTCAGTACAGTACCTACAATGTTAAGTTGGAACAGCCAAAAATATATAATTAGTCAATATGATGCATTATATGGATCCCACCAGTAGTGAATGGTATAAAAACAGGTAAGTAACTTACTTGTAAAATTTCTTTTTCTTTTTTCTGTTTCTTTCTTACTACACAATGGGCTATCTGTGCTGTTCCTATCGTAAGTATCAATATCCAATTTTTAGTGTTATAAACCCTCAGACTTACCAGTGAGTCACCAAGGAGCATGTCATTCTTTCAACAATAGCATAACTGATTTTCTTCTATGTACACAGATGTATTCAAGTTGACTACATTCAAAAACTACAGTTGAACAGCAAGAAAGTTGGAATTCTTTACATATTTAGCTGACCTCATATCCTGGAGGACAGGATTTACTCTCAGTTAACTACAAAAATATGGTAGTGTGACTTATTTGTTAGTGTTTTGATTTCATAGTTGAAAGTTTTCAGGTTTGAGTCTTGCCCTGGACATGTTGCTGTGTCACTGAACAAGAAACTTTGCCCAAACTGCTCATTTTACTTAGCTGTATATTGGGTACCGGCAGTTAGCTAGGGTTAACCTTCAATGGATTGACATCCCATCTAGGGTTAACATGTGACTATTCTCAACTTACTTGCATTTACTTAGAGCTATATGAATCACAAGTATGCAGTAAATAAATTACTATTCAGACAATTTAAAATCCTCATACAGATAGGAAAATACTTATCCACATTAATAAATCAAATAAAAACTCCAGCAGTGGTATAGGATCAATTTTCAAGTTCTAAATTTCAAATGAATGGTAAATACATAAGTACAAACTTATGCTAAAGAGTACATGCTGTTTTACACAAATGTATAAATTAAAGTTCTCTAAATTAAACATGTAAGATAAATGACTTAGCATACATTAGCACAAAAATGTATATACACTGACTGTCTACTTTACTGGAATCTTCACCTAATAATTAAGTGAGCCTATTTTTCTACATGTTAATTAATAACCTGGACTTTGTTTGCCATGAAATGCTGAAAGATATCTGGTTATACTATACTCTATTCATTAAGATAATCTGAAATAGTTCACAAATATCAGCCGAGGAGTACAATTGCAAAAATATAATGTACAAGTTCATCCCAAGGTTACCCGATTGAATTGACATTTAGTGATAGTGCCAAAGAATACATTGTTTGGTATTTCAAACTAACTTCATGCAACATGAGTATGATATACTGTTGTGTGTTTCAAACTGATTTCATGCAACATGAGTATGATATACTGTTGTGTGTTTCAAACTGATTTCATGCAATATCAGTATGATAGATTACTGTGTGCTTCAAATTGATTTCATGTAATATGACTATAGAAGATTATTGGAGGATGGTTAACATAATTAGGAATAATGTACAGGTACATTGTATGTTATTTGCCTTTCTAAAGACACTGAAGACTCAACACCTGCGATTACATCACCTTTAAGAGCTTGCTCTAGTGGAACAAAGTGAAAAGCTCAAATGTGATCTTTGTTATACTCATACTCATTTGTCATTTCAGAAGACCACATTATACACTAACAGTTACTTAATATCAACAGTTTCAGTTCTAAGCCCTACTATCTATCTATCTAATATATATATATATATATATATATATAATAACCATAATTTTATTATTGTAGCTGAAATAGACAGTGTTTGTTTGAACTGACTGATTATTGGTTACCAAATTACAGCTTTTGTACAGTTTTAAATATGTATATCTAGAGCTGATCTAATTTTAACCACAGTTCAAGGAATTGATCAACAGGGACACTAGATTCAAATGTTGCTAAACAACTAGTTACAGAAATGGTCTTTAGTAATGATACCCCTTTTGAGAGTCAGAGATTCTTGAGCTTATCAACTGAAGTGCTGACTAATTGTGATATGACTAAATCTTTGTAGTTAGAGGGCTGAAGCAATCATCTGACTCAACACAGTGCATGATCATTCTGTTTTGAATATATAAGTAAATGTATTATTTTACAAGTTTGTGTGGCAAATCAGTGTAAATGTGAGATAATGAATGGTTATAAAATGAATGTTACAATAACCTCAATTGTCTTATGAAACAGAAGAGCATAGAAATCTATAGGATACATTATATTTTAGTAATAAAGTTCTTTAATGACTACACATGTTTAATATCAAAGGTTTTGAATTGATTTTCAATCATATCTGTAATAAACAATACTAATACAATTAACCTGGTACCACACAACACTGATACAAATGAAAAACAACACTATTTTTACAGGGCTTTTTGACTACTTGTACTAACAATCCTGTAAATTTTCAGGGTATTATACAACCTTGTGGTATCAGAAGTCAAGATAAACTACATATATTTTTTATAATGAACACACACTTACCACACACAGTTTGTGCTCTAGTCTTGCTTTGTAATTCACATCTTCAGTAGCAGGGCTGTTTTTAAATAATGGTGCTTCTTTCTGAATCTGAATAACTGAACACTGTGTACCCATGATTTTTTAAATCACCAACACAAAAGATGAGAAATAAATACTTTCTTTCCTCAAATTTTCTAAAAAAATAGATAAATATTTATTACCTGGATAGACATTTCAATTAAATCTTGTAACACATTAAAAACAAGTATAATTCATTAAATCTGTTATAAAAAATAACCATATCATAATATTACATGTGCATGGTATACTCCATACAGTATTCTTGCTTTTAATGTGAAAACATAACCAAATCACTTATCACTAAGAGGAGAAAAAAACATGCAGCTGAGCATACAAATTGTTTTCCAATTTACAATCTCTTCAACGAATGATAAAAAAGTACAAGGTTTATTTACTTTTAAGTTAATTTTACAAATATCAACTATATAAGTAGACCATAACTCTATAAACTTTAAACAAAATCAAAAACCACATGTAATTTTTCACACTACGAAAAAATTCATGTTTCAACTTCTTGCATTGTAACCATAACATATATCTTGGAACAATACAAAAAAAAATCCATGCATTAAGCAAATTTATTGTTATGAGTCTAATAAAACATTAAATAACTTTAGGTATGAAACAAAACTTCTGAAATAAAAGGAAATTAGAATAGTCCCATCATGCACTGGAACCATAAATTGTGGGTTGGCTGTAATTTTTTAGGAGGCTCAAAAAGATACAAAAAATTTCACTTGCAGAGCTTACTTGCTTAGGGATATGTTATAGATAGTTATGAGGAAGATTTCTCTATTAGGGGAAAAGATCAAAAAGCAATACAGAATACAGTTAGGGTATAGGTTGACTTTGAAAAGGATATACATAAGTGAATATGATTTATGAACAAAATGGGTTGTTAGTCAATCTATCAGCTGTCACATTCATTAAACTTTAGAATAAAAATCAAACACTCAAAGCAAATCTTCATCATTCATATATTAAACTCCCTTAAATTAACTGCATCCACCACATCTGATGGCAACTCATTCCAAACGCCAACCACTCTGTTAGAAAAACAAATCTCTCTTAGGTAAAGATGCTTCCTACCTTGCCAAAATTTGTACTTGTGTCCCCTAGTCTTATCATTCTCACCATTAAATATGAAAAAATTCCTTAACAATCTTATAACTACCTCAATCTTTCTTGTCTGTAATAAATGACAAAAACTGACATGGTAGTGGAAGTAAGTACACAAGACAGAATGTTACATTTATGTTCATATATCATAACATGACTTGTTGTGAAGAGTAAATAACTAATATAAGCTTAATAATTTATTCAAATAAGAGGAGACAATCAAGCATTTAATTTTATTATTTAAATAGTTCTTGATCTAAATATTGAATAAAATATACACCAATACAATAGTATATAACTTTGATCTGGGTATGTACTTACAGAATAAGTTTGACAATTCAATTAGTGTGTGAGAACATATAATATGACCTCTAATAGTGCACACAAATGTTACCAACAGTAACATCCATTATTTAAACATTTATTATCATGCAGTGATGATTTGTGATAATGTGAGTAAGGAGTACTTCACTTCATTACTATTAGTACACAATTCATTAAATTACTTTTAAGTACTTACTTTTGTAGTTAATTACATTTCAAATAAATAATTAAGCTAAATAAACACACTATAAAAATAGTTTAATTAAATTATTTATTTTTCCATTATAGCTAATTCGTTGAAACTGAAAATTGCTATAAGAATTACAATTCCAACATACTGCAACCAAGGTAAAACTAATGCTTTACTGTAGATATGATCTAATGTTCTTATCAACCACCAGGTGAAAATTGGATATTACACTCAGATGCCATCTTATCTCCAATACTTTTGCATCTCCAAGCAGAAATGCAAGTACTGCTTTTGGATGTTCACAAAGAAACACAATATGATTTTATTAGATTTAATCCACTAATCCTAAATCTGATTAATAGTCGATAATTAAACATTGAAATGAAGATTCAATGTAGCACTTATAATAATGTTTTGGATTTAGAACAAAGTAATCAAAACAGTTTTTCTGTAATACAGAATAGCTGCAACAGCGTGAACTGCAAAATTGTAGTTTATTAAATAAATGCAATTTGTTTAAGTAACTGCGACTATAAAAATTATGTATTAATAGTTTAGTTAACTACAAAGTACAAAGAACATTGATGATGATGCATGCTCATCATGTATTGCATAAGGCATGCGTTACTTTAGTTAAGAGCCTTACTTTATCGAGGTATCACAATAATTAATAAATTATTTCTGTAACATTTCTCGGAATCTAGCACTGTATTGTATTTAAAAATTATATTTGTATCAGCAATTTATACTTTATTTCTATAGTCCTATGCACCGGTGACGTCATAGCCGATTTTCTGTCACATTCCTGCAATACTCTCAGGCAGTTAGGGATAAACCTACAATCCTTTATGAGTATTACTATTGTTACGTTTCTGGTCGTTAGTTAATTTTCCGCAAAAATTCTTTCCGAAGAAACTTTAGCCATACAAATCCTTTCTCAAATAAAACTGGTTTATTCTTTCTGAATACAACTTTGCAAAACACTTAATTTCCACTGTCACAGAAAACAGGAAGTCCTTCCAGACCCCGCAGCTAAACTCTAATTCATACATCTTCAGTCCTGTTAGAAGTCACATCCCAGATATGAATGTCAGCAATAGGGGTGGTCTAGTATGAACAAAGCCACAGGAATTCGATGGGAAGCACATAGAGCACAATTTGAGCTCCTGGCAGAGACGAATGGATGGACAGAGAAGCAGAAAGCAGTATATCTGGCAACGAGCTTGAAGGGACAACCACTGGAAATACTTGGACAGTTGTCAGCAAATGACAGGCACAATTATAGAGCACTGATAGCTGCTCTAGAACTCAGGTACGTAACCCAAAATCAGTCCGAAGTCTACAGGGCTAGGTTTAGGACGAGAGTCCGTGCTAAAGAGGAGAGCCTGCAAGAGCTGACACAGGACTTGGAAAGTATGGCACACAAGGCCTACTCAACTGCACCACCCGATCTCCTCAAGTTGTTGCTGATAGATCAGTTTGTAGACGCCTTGGACAGTCCACAACTAAAGACACAAGTGAAGCAAGCACACCCCTCTACTATGCAGGATGCAATGGCCAGAGATCTTGAATTTGAATCATACTGTTACGTCTCCGTTCGTTAATTGATTTTCCGTAACTTCGTTCCGACTGAAATTTTAG